TTGATTTCATGAGAGCGCATATGCGCTATATAACAATGGTTTTGGAAAACTAAGTCATATGGTTCCCGCTCCTTCCAGTCAGCTGCAGTTCAGTTATGGAACAACTTACCAGATGTTGTCAAACAGGCCAAAACAACAGAACAATTATTCAAAACCTGGGTCAAAACATATCTGTTCGATTTGTATAATTCTTGATTTCATGAGAGCGCATATGCGCTATATAACAATGGTTTTGGAAAACTAAGTCATATGGTTCCCGCTCCTTCCAGTCAGCTGCAGTTCAGTTATGGAACAACTTACCAGATGTTGTCAAACAGGCCGAAACAATAGAACAATTATTCAAAACCTGGGTCAAAACATATCTGTTCGATTTGTATAATTCTTGATTTCATGAGAGCGCATATGCGCTATATAACAATGGTTTTGGAATTATTATTATTTTATTATCTTTCAATTCCGCTACCAAGCTCAGTAATATAATTTTACATATTATTATTTAGATCAGGCTTCCAGTGGTAAAGATAAATCAGCGTTTTGTATGATTCCGTATTGAAAGCAATATTTGTCAGTAAAAGTACCCGGATGACTGTAATATTATTTTAATGTACATCCAATTATGAAAGATATTGCACACAAAAACGTGAAGCGCATTAACAGAAAACGTTTCCCGTTCTGCACCTGTGTAGCCAGGGAACTATGGAGAACAATTTATAAATCATGCTTAAACATGTGCAGATCATACTTTTCTCTTTTAATTAATTTGGATTTCAGTGGATTTAAAATTACATTTCCTGTCAGACCATTGTTTCTTTTGTGGAGATGTCGCTAAAGAAAATAGGTGAAGAAAAATGTTTCGTTCTTCCTTTCGGCTTTTCTTCTATTATTACCCAGGATACTTGATGTAAATGTCGAATTGGTATTCAACACCACGTAGACTCGGTTCAGTATGCCGTCATTTTAAAGAAATTAGTTACTTTTTTTTTGAAAATGTAATTGGTCTTTCAGCCATCTGTATTGCATACGCGCAAAATATCAAAAGAGGGCGCTGTTTAGAAAGTGCATCGGAAGTCCAAAATCACCCAATGACAGGCCTATGTTATAGCCGGCCATTCCCCTTACAATTATTTACACTTTCATGGCCTCTTGGGGCGGATCGATAATTGCGTCCTGCGTTGTTTGAAGCAGTAGAACTGCAGTAACAAAGTTGAATTTGATTTAGTGTGTTTAGCATTCAGAGACTTGCGGCAGCTATACATTTTTGTACCGCAGATGTATATACATTGTTGACACTTGATATGAAATCGTGAAGGGAAAGGATAAAAGAAATGATCACTTCAAGGCAAAATCAGTCTGTCGGTGGAATAAACACGTCTCCTGAACTTTAAAGTACAAATCAATAGTCAGTTACATTGACATCGGCTGTGAAGCCGTAGGCCAATCTTTTTTTGAGTCTGGTTCCCAGACCAGCAGAGGCAGACTTTTCTGACAAAATGTCTGAAGGTTACCGAATACATTTCGTTGGCACTCGGGTATGCTTGCAATAGCTCGGGTATTTCCGGGTGTTGACTAGTTATGAAACTTTTGAGTTCATAACTTCATTACCTACATTTTAAATTCCAATGCCCGGTGCATTATCCAGTAGGCCTATATTAACTTTGGCCCATTTAGACGTGGTGGCTCAAGTATGCACTTGTACTTGAACGAGGGGCCAACATGGCTGCGCCATGCTCTATTTTTGAGTGTGGCGACTACCTGACCTTAGATTTGTAAATATTAGTCAGATAACTTTGGTCTGGGAACTTGACAATGTCTTTATTTGTGCATTTTTGCAGAAATTTCTGCGTTTTTACATGGTATTCGCAAACTTAAAGGGCCCATGTAATGTAATTTTTCTAATGTAGTCCTCGTAAATGCATTTTTGTGTCCCATTTTACCTTATATTAATTTACCTTATATTTTGCAATTTTTAAGGGCATTTTAGTGCCTTTTTTATGCTAATGAAATTTGCATATTCATGAGCAAAAGTGTGATGTAATTTCAGACAGAAAACTAAACGTTACAGATATTTCAGCACCAAACATTCGCCAGAATTTTGGATATTTTCCTGTATAAATGTTCGTTTCTTTGGTGTTTCGTTGTTGTTTCAGTACATGACAATAGGCCAATGAGCAAAGTTTTCTTACAAAACATTTTCAGTGAGCAAGTTTTGGGTTCACAATTTAGACAGAAAACCTTTCAACTAAACAGTGTACTCCTGAAATGACATCGCAGCAACAGCGCCCTCATTTGTCAGGAAAAGCATGTTTAAAGAATTGAAGCGCACTTTTCAACAAGATTAACCCAAAAGGGATCTTAAGTTGTTTCCATACATTTTAAGAGGAGTAGAAAGTTGCACAAAATATGCTCCCAGGTAAAATTCGTGTTATGGGCCCTTTAAGCTTGGCAATCCATGCACTATACTCAAACTGACCCGTAACCGCCCCCCCCCCCTTTTTCTCCTTAAAACTTCAATAAGTCACAGCATTGACAAAAGATGTGAAGGTTTAAAACCAAAATATTCTTACTTTTCAGTGCCATTTCTGTTTTCCAAACATGACGTGATTGTCAAATGTTTGCTCTATGTGAAGTGGATATCATGACTAGTGATTTTTTCTTTACCCCAAAAAAATACAGTTCTGGAATTTTATGGATTTTGGAGGAAATCATCTTAACACAACAAAATCCCAAATTCCCTTTTATCAAATCGAGGAGCACGTATTGATCGCGTCAGACTTCAGCCCCCCCCCCCCCACTAAAAAAACTTAAATTCACAAACTACTTTTCCCAGAATTTACGAATGTGTGGCTTCCGTTTTGAAACCCCGCACCTATTGGCCGACCCATCTGAATGTTAGCTTGAGACTGTGATTGCGATCAATCTCAATTCAATTATCTCCTCTTCCCATTCAGCCAACGCGTCATTGAACACCTAGGACGAGTCTCTGACGTCAAAAAAACATATTTGTCATAATCATTAAAGGGCATTGAAATGATTATTTCTTAGGAACACATTTGTGCAACTTTCTACTCCTCTTAGCCCTAAAAGGGCCGGAGGCGGAATCCGCCCCCCCCCCCAACTTTTTCCGCGATACCCTTGCAAAAACAAATTTCCCGACCCGAGCTTTCCTGAATTTTTAGTCTCGAGTCTTGCGCATCTCTTGATACCAGAAACTTAAAATTCCGACAATGGGTTGCCGCTCAGCGAAGATTTTTTTTTTCGGTGAAAACTGAATTTCCCAATGTATGTAGTGTACACAAAGTAGAATTACCATTGATGCATTCGAATACTTAATTAGCCATAATTCCAAAACCCTTAAACCTATAGTCATGAAATTTATCGGGTATGTTCACATTGAGTTGTTCATGTATGTACCGAGTTTCAAATGTTTCGTCTCTCGATGGCCGAGATCTGAGGGGGCCTGTGATTAAATGTGTTAATTTTATTGAATAGTGCGCTTCTTTAAACATTTGAAATGTGCCATGCTTTTCCAGACAACGGAGGGCGCTGTTGCTGTGATATCATTTCAGGAAGACACTGTTAAGTTTAGGGGTTTTCTGTTCCAATTGTGAACCCAACAATTTGCTCATGAAAACATCTGTGAGAAATGGTTGCTCACCGTGTAGGCCTACTGACTCAACAACGAATCAACAAGGAACAGAACATTTACAATAGCAAAGCATCCAACAGTTTGGCAACTTTTGGTGCTGAAATAACTGTAACATTGAGGTTTCTGCCTGAAATGACATCACACTTTAGCTCATGAATATAGAAATTTGCATTAGCATAAAACCAAAAAGGCACCAAAATACCCTTAAAAGTGGGTAAACAAAAATTGAAAATAAGGATAAATGGGATACTAAGGTGCATTTTCAAGGACCGCACTAAAAATGTACATTGCATGTGCCCTTTAACCACTATACATGTATTATGAACGTTCTAAAGAGTGTGTGCCTTAAATAGAATCACAGCAACAGCTCCTTCAATTGTCAAGAAAAGTATGGACCGTTTTTAGTAAAAAAAAGCAGGTGCACTTTGAAACAAAATTAACCAAAAAGGATCTCATAGTTTTCGTACATTTCAGAGGAGTGGATATTTGTACACACAAATAATCATGCCATACTCTTACAAAAACACACAAGATGACGTAAAGATTCGAACCACTGCGACCTACATTCCGGCAAAATAGCGCCGTTTTAATCAAACAGTAGCATGATGTGAAATTGATTTTCGTTTCTCGCGCTTGAAATCAAACAGAGCAAGCATTGATTAAAGGTGCACTGTTTAGATAGACGTGTTGTCCTGTGTTGTCTTTAGCCACACCGAGAAGTCTAAATCTTTGTGAAATTAAATAAAGCTTCGGTAATAGTTTAGGGCCTCTCCATCTCCTTAGTTCTAAAACAGTTTTAATCATTCCAAAAATGACATATGCAACTTCATATCAGGCTTCAGGACTACTTTTAGAGGTGATCATCTTTGGATGGAATTTTCTCCAAAAAGTCATTTGTTAACCCCCAGAAAATTGAACGGAAAATGAAAGCTGATGAAATAAGCTTTAGTTTGATTTGTGTCTCGCACGCCTTGGAGAGTTGTGAGTATTTGTATTTTTGGGGAAATGCGCGTAATCCCTGAGGTATATGGCAGTCTATTTACTGGTCTGTAACCTGCATTACATTTTGTGCCACTGTAATAATGCATTCTGGTCAATGTGTAGCCCGACTCCGTATATATAGGCTACATCTGGCTATAATCCTTAGATTTGTTTGACTAAATCCCGTATGGATAAACGCCTATTGTGAAAGAAAGTAGGCCTACCGCTTTTATATCAACACTGCCTGGATTGTTAGCCTTCTAAATCACCCGTGTCATATAAGTTCGATTACCATTTTAATCGTGTTGGTGGTGAGCAGTGATGCGTTTGGTCTTTGCATGGAAATCTCGAATTTTGCGCTGCATGCACCTCGAATGGTCGGGAAAGCACCTTCTGTCGCACGAAACATTAATTGGAAAATAATATTTATCAGACTACGGTGAAGGCAATTACTGTTGAAAACTACAGTTGAAAACTACAGTTGTGAAATAGAAGTCGTACTGTGAGCCGAAGATGCACGGAGTGTCGGAAATGAGTTGCTCTTCCATGAGGTATTACGTTGGTGTTGACCAGTGTTTATTAGGCGATTCGCGAGGTGAGTTTGTAATGCGCCCAATTGGGCTAAAACAACGCGTTTTAAACGAAATGATGTTAATTGGAAAAATCAATTATAGTAGGATATAACGTCCACACAACGTTCCTTTAAAAACTAGGCTTTTTGTGTTGCTCTTGCGAGAGCGAATTTCGTTGGTCAGAAATATTTACCCAAAAAATCGAGCTGTTGAGCGAGTGATGTTAGTTATGAATCCTGCCGCAAAGTGCATGGCATTCTGCGGACGTGCGAGAAACGACATTTGTGTGCATTCTGCGGACGTGCGACAAACATCATTTGTGTATTGGTGTTGTGTGTATTATGTGACACACAACGTGTACCGTACATTGTATGGACACAGCTGGAAATACGTATGCGTATGCTACAAAATGTCCACCATTTTCAATGTAAACAACCGGGTGTTTTCCCGTCTTTTCTCGGAAACGGTAAGACATTCGGTGAGTTTCCTTTCAACCAGACCTTTGAAGTGTGATAAGTAAACAATCCAAAACATACAAATTTTGGTGATTTCAGGCCGTAGTGCCCCTTTAAACTCGCTGGAGATCGAGACGGAAACTTGTCGTTATTGATGAGGATATTCATTCTGAACATTAGTCTCTACTGAAGACGAGTTTAAGATGAGCATGCTACTGTAGCGAATCATTTAAGAAAGCCATTCCCCAATTTCGCTGCAAGAGACTCGATTTCAGCGTGTCTGCATCTTAACTTATTTTTCTTTACTAGCCAGCCGGGCTACTGAAACAGATTCTTAACTAGCCCGCGGGCATTCTGCATGTTTTTCTTTCATATAGAGTGTCTCATAATCAACAGTGCGCATACATGTAAAACGTGTATCCTGAGGCAATAATGTCAGTGTTTTTAATAAACAGATCCAATAATTTAACCCTTAGCAGCTAATAAAATAAGACACAAATTGATACATCTGGTTGACTTTCTGACTTTATGATTTATTTCTTCCTGTCCTTTCATCTTTGCCGCCAGCCGGGCTACTAATAATAAGGAATAGTTTGACTATATCCCGCCGCTGTTTTGACAAGCATTTGGCTAGCGGGCTACTGCTAAAGTAGAACCCTGATTATTGTAGTGATATTCAGACATTTTTTGAAAGGTGTGATTCAAATTTGTTCTGGTGTTTTGTTGGGAAGCTATTTTTGGCGGACACATTGTTTTTGTTGGAGGTTTACCCTAAAGCCCGCTTAGGCACGTTTGCCGTTTTGCATTGATCGTTGTGTTGATGGTAACTTCTTTCTTTAAGAACATAATGTGATGCTATTTTGGTGAGACTCAGTCTTCTGAGGCCTGATTACAGCTTACATGAAGAAGTGTTTGAAAGACACACATGGAAGAAAACATCAGATATCAGGGGTTGTTTTCTTTCTTCAATCGGCCTAGGGAGATGCAGACCGACAAATTGATATCCTGCAGGCGTTGCATATTCATACAGGCACGACTGGGCCAAAAACAATCGCGCGGTGAAACGTATATGCAATAACACCGATAGCAATATCCTGTCTGGCCCACTGCCCACCCAGCCACTGGGAGCTTGTTTCCGTTTTTGGCGCGTCTTTTGCGTCAGTGGTGACGTCATAAGGCGCGGCAGGAGGCTTCCAGCGGCCGGCCTGTTTTGGATTCGCAAAGCAGCCAGACGCTGTTGTTGTGGCTTCAGGTGATGGAAATCTCTTGGAGATTATACAGAGTGGCCGGTTTTGGCGCAGGATGGTCTTAAGGAATTGTCGGGATCAGCTGCTGCTGTTATGATCTATGCTGTGGACTGTATTCATGAATTGTTAGTTGAATATCAGTCTTTTTTGAATGTTTCACTAACAAATAACATTGCCACTAAAATGGCTATTTTGGATGGAGGATCCAGTCGCACCACGAACCGTCGTATCCCGATTTTTGGCCAAATTGAGTTTTTGTCATAACGTTTTTATTTCATCAAAGTGCTCATCCTCACAAAGGTTTATTCCGTTCTGAGTTCTAAGTAACTAAGAACGCTAATTAGACTGTGCGACGTATGTCAAAGAATTAAACATGTTTCACCAGTGCCGTATACCGATACATGTACTTGACTCTGTGACGTTACCTCCGCCAAGGAGGTTACGTTCTCATCGGCGTTGGTTTGTTTGTTGGTTGGTTGGTTGGTTTGTTTGGGAACAGGATAACTCAAAAAGTTATGGATGGTTTTCATGATTTTTGGTTTTTAGGGCTGGTCCTTATAGTTCAAGTACAAATCGATTAGATTGTGGAAGAGATCCGGATCTGGGTCCGGATGCAAAATTTTTTAAAGGGTTTTTCACCATTTTCTCCCTAAATTCCAAAGAGTGAAATTAAGGACTAGACGTTTAAGAGTGAAAATCACTGTCATTTTCGATTGAAATAGTCTGAAAAAAGAACCACTTAGGTCGAAGCTCGATTGAAAACTCGATCTTTACGATTGAAGAAATTTCACTCTAAAACGTCTAGTCCCTAGTTTCCGACTGTGGGAGTGAATCTTCACTCGAATGGAGTGAATTTTCACTCTTTGGAATTTAGAGAGTTGTATGTTCGAATATGCTATGTGTAGAGACCACTGACCCAGTGATTCTGTATGCCTCATCACCCACCTAATCTAACCACACAGGTCAATGGACTAGACCATTATATACAATGGGGGAGTGGAGAGATAGACGGACACAGGCATATACATACCAAATGTTTGAGTTTAAGGATGTATTAAATGTGCAATAAAATATGAAAGTCCAATGGATATGCAAGGCTGTATGGGTGTATACAGTCAAACACCTATTATGACAAGGTCCTTGTGACTTTACGTATTACCTTGTTATAACAGGTGTCTTGTATTATAACCTTAATGGAAAACAAAGGAAAACAAAGCAGAATCTTGTATTAACAGTGTTTTTCTTATTAGGGTTAACCGACTGTACTAACAACATGGCAATGAATTGTTCAGCCTTGGCGGAGGTGTGCGCTCTCTGAGTGCTTTGTAGTTGTGATTGATTTTAGCTGCCTTGTGCTGAAATGTCAGCATCGAGCTTCTTTTTTTTTTTACTCCCCAGGGAGCTGATGGTATTTGGAATGTTTCATTGGCCCAGTGATCAGGGGCAACAATAATGTAAAGCGCTTTGATCTTAGTACAGTGCTATATAAATATACCTGTTGTTATTATTATTAAGGGGGGGGGGGGGCTACACATCATTTGAAGCTTGAGGGCGCTGTTCATTACATTGTATGTATAATCTGTACTGCCAGTATGCCGCATTAATTCTGGGTCCTTTCCACACGCTCTTTTTACTTCACTAACATTGAATACCTCAAATTTTCGGTTTGCTTCTTCCTTTTCGTCTTTTTCAACCCCCCCCCCCTTTTTTTTGGGGGGGGGGTGTCAATGAGAAGGGGGGATGGGCGGTTCAGTCCCCACCCCACCCCTCCGCCGCCGCCACTGGTCATGCCAAACATCGAATCCCAATTCCGCTGTCGAAATTTGAGTCAAGAGACATAACACAAAAGCAAGGACCAGCATAATATGCTGGTCCTTTTTTGGACGACGGTTCCTCGTAGGAAATTTTCAAAATCTGCATTTTGCGCGGCGTGTCACGGCACTCACTCCCGAGCTCCCGTGGGGAAATTGCAGCTCTGTCCCCGATGAAATATTGATTGAAGAACAAGAGAACGGTAGCCCGCGCGGCGTTTTAATGGTTCAGTAATGAGAAATCCCAACGCAAAACAGCTCGATAAATCTTGAGAAGCCGGCACAGATTCTTGCTTGTCCTGTTCCGGCATGGGGGCGGGGGGGGGGGAGAGAAGGGAGAAGGGAGGGTAAAGCTTGTAGACTCGGAAATAGAAGTGATCAGATGGGGTTTGTTTAGAGCTCCAAGCACTACTTAAGGTTTTTCCCTTTTAGGATGAGTGTTTGTTTTGGTTTGTCATTGGTCTGGGACCAAGTCTTAGTGTGTTGTTTGTGTACCTGGAGTCGGATCAAGGAGTATCCCTTGTGTCTGCCATTTGAATGCATAGGGTGCAGACCAGTAAATCGACTCCAATAGACCTCAGTGATAATTACGCGCACTTCCAAAAATTATTAAATATACTCACAACTCTCCAAGGTGTTTGAAACACCCATCAAATTAAAGCGTATTACATCATCTTTCATTTTTTTGTTCAATATTTTGGGTGGTAATTCGATGACTTTTGGGAGAAAATTTCATGAAAAGATGATCACCCCTAAAAGTATTCCTATGGCCCATCGCCCTTTTGAAAAATGGTGTCTGTGCTTCATTGCAAAAAAAGAGCAATATTGGGCCCAATTTCATCCGAATTTCACAGAAATACGAGCTCGCAGTCCTGTGCATGTGCACGGCTTCCACCAATGTTTTTCATAAACCTTCAAGTTCATGACCCACAAAATGCTCCAATACCAAACAAAAATAAGGGCATACAAATCGTGTTTTGGCCCGCGTAGGCACTTTTGAGCCTCTGGTGTGCACCCATATTACGACATTTCATTTACGACCAATGTCCCGTAAAGCCCACATTGACCGAGCCTGTGTACGAAAAACGCCGTAAAACATTATTTTGTGAGAAAAGGTTGCTGATTGGCTTACTGCCATGTACTGACACAACAACGAATCACTAAAGAAAAGAAAATTTACAACAGCAAAATTATTAAAAAATCTGGCCACATTTGGTGCTGAAATAGCAGTAACATTAAGGTTTCTGCCTGAAATGACATCACAATTTTGCTCATGAATATAGAAATTTGCATCAGCATAAAACCAAGAAGGCACCAAAACACCCTTTAAAAATGGCAAAAAGAGAATTAAAAATAAGGTTAAATGGGAGACAAAGGTGCATTTTCAAGGATTGCATTAAAAATACATTGCATGGCCCTTTAATTGGATGTGTATCATAAGCAAAATGAAGCTTGCTTGTACCACCCTCATTTCTCCGTTACATAAAGACACCTGCCATAACACCTGCTTAATTATAATTTGGGATTCGTTTTCACAGTTCCTTAATAGAGTTTCTCTCACCAACGAATGGCACGCGATGTTAATTTTGGGCCCATTTACTCGGGCGATTCTGCAAGCGATTTAACACTCTTTTTTTTCACTGCTGTGGACAGTCAGCATTTGAGTCTCATTCACATTTTTTTCCGTATATTTTCAGATGATGCTTGCCTGAAAGGTCGCTGTAAATACGGCTTAATGACGGCCAGAGCGAGCCGCAGTCGTGATTGAAGACCAGCGATGGATAGGCCTACCAGCCAGGAGGATCAGCTGTCTGGCCCGGTAGCAGATGTCGAAGGTCAAACGGAGGTGCCTAGTTCTCCTCACGGCTCTGCCATCAGCCAGCAGTCCTCCACATCTCACAGCAGCGCACACTCGAGCCACTCTTCACCCACATCAAGGCTCCGCCAGAAGCAACTAGCCTGCCGGAAGTATTGCAGCACCGTCCTAGCCTGTCTCGCAGTTGGGGTTATGATCACCCTGGGCAGCGTAGCAATGACAGTCTGTGGATATTTCGCCATGAACATTGCCAGCCAGACAGTGCAGTCAGGGAACAAGACCGCGGTGGTGCTAGACGAGCAGCTCCACGAGAACCTGTACAAGTTCCGGACTTTCGGGCCGGTCATGATCGGCTTCGGCAGCTTCCTCATCATGTGCGCATGCGTGTTGCTATGCGAGGAGAAAGACAAAAAACACAAATCTCGCACCCACGCGGGCGAGAATCTGCTGAGCGAGCACGAGCGAATCATGCAAGAGGCAAGAGAACGATTCTACAACGAGAACCGAAATGTGTTATTGGTTGAGTCTAACACGGTGGACTACCGGAACCCTAAAGCCTCGTCCAATGAGTGCACCTCATGCTTAGAGTCTGAAAATGTCAGAAACAGCGCCATAACGCAAGTCAAACCCTTGGCCTCGTCTGCTGCAGAAAGTGACGGAGCAAGTGGTGTTTCCGGCTCGCCTGTTGTACTTGTTCATGGACCAACCATCATAGAACCAGCGCAGTGTGCTGTTAGCGATGAACACCAACAGACTAACGAAAACGGAATGAGTGATATTCATTCAAAATCAAACCACAACAGTCCAGACCACAAAAGTAGCAGTCCGTCTCGTAACTCCAAGAAACACAACGCCGTCAGACCTTCCAGCATTGAGGATGCGAAGAGCGAGCTGGCCTTCCCGATTAGCCCGGTTCTACCCAAAATTGATTCTCCGCGAGGCAGCAATGGGATATCACGTGCAGGGGGAGCCATTCCGAAATCGATTCTCGTGCAGCCGCTCAAACTCTCGCCTATTCGGAGTGTGAATGGACCCATCAGGGTCCGGCTGGATGACTCGCCGACAGAACTGTCTCCCTTCGCGCCGTCGAATGCGTCCAAATCTGCTGAGTGCATACCCCAGCCTCGTAGTCCGGGCTCAACATCGGGACGGGTGAAGCGGGGCAAAAAGAAGAAGTCAGCAGGCAGCTTGCAGGCTAGCTTGGGCCAGTGCCGCTGCTTATCAGACCCGTCCATGTCCACACCACGATCTCAGGACAGACAGCTAGACTCCTGCTGCTGCCTGCAGCCGGACTGCTGCTGGGGCAGCAACTGTCAACTGGATAAATCAGTATCGACGAATGCTAAAAACACGGACGATCCTTTAGCGGGTTTAGTAGCGACTGGTGGCAAGTCCAATATTCCATTGCTGCAGCCTTTGAATTCAGACTGTGTGCCGATACAAAGCATTGAGTTAAAACCAAAGAGTATAGGGGAACTTGTCGCAGCTGATCGGGAAAAATCTACTAATAAACACAAAGACACCTGTTTGGATACACATTACAAAAATCCACATGGTGTAAACCAGATAACAAATAGTGACAAAGATACATTGAGGGACGCTACCCCACCCAAGGGAGCTGCATCTCCAGCTCGGCAGGTAGATAGTGACAAGGAGCGTTCAGCTCTGGGTGGGGAAAAGGTGACCACAGACGAGACAAATGCAGAGGCACTGGCCATAAAGGACAGAAACTCCAACATCAAAGTGTCTTCCAAACGGCAGGATGCACCGGGAAAGGGCGCCCCCAATAGTGGGCAGGCAAAAGGTGGTGTTATTGTTAAGTAAAATAGCTAATCCCAAAATGGCGCCGACGGGATCCGCTACGTTGTCCTACGTACCACGGCGAACTTGCATTCCCGTAAGTAGGCCTATCCCTATCAATTTACTTATTCACGTCACTTCATTACAAAGGTGTTTCAACACGGCTAAATAATCCTTCTTTCTCTGTTCCGATTAAGTACCCAATTGACAGGCCTAATTCCCAACTTTAAGTAATAACTCACCCAAACCAAGTGTGGTACTAGAACATCATTGTCCATCTCCCCAGCTGAATATTTTTGCTAGCACAGTCTAAGCCCAGTAATAGTATTGGCTCGTAAGCTGTGTTCCAATGATCACTTTGTGTGCTTAGATAATATCTGCGCTTACCATGCCAGTTCCCATTGTGTTGGCCCAGGTGCAGGGCTCATGGTATAGACATACATTATGGCTTTCAGGCATCACGCGAGTGCATCATCTAGGGGCAAGTTCAATCAAGGACCATACCATAGTTCGACTAACTCTGGTGGAACGCACGCTAGTCGACGACGGTTGGACTAGTCTAGTCGACTATTCAGGACCAGCCTATACAACGTATAGCTGCTTCCTTATAGCAATTTTCATAGCAAAGTGCAGAGGGGACCAACATCAACAAAAATGGCGGGAAAACAAACTGTGAGTGCTAAATTTCATTTTCATTACATAGTTTTTCCATGTTAGCTTACGATTCTGTCACTTTGTCACCACTGTATAATAATAATGGCGATAATGTAGGTGTCCTTAACTACGCAATCACCATTATATGTGTATAGGTAAACAGAAACATCAGTGTTGAAAAATTTTGCGACCGCCATTTTCTTACGGTTGTTGACACGACAATAGCACGGCTATAGAGTCGTTCGCAATTCAACTTCAGTGCGCATGCGCAAGTTACGTCACGAACCAACCTGTAGTTAACCACTGGTCCTTGATCGAACTTGCTCCAGGATTTACGTTGTGTCAGTTACCTCACCAGAGACCAACATGGTCAATTATTGATCTTATTGACAATATGGCGGTTATACTGTATGTGGCTTTTGAACTTGAACTTGGCAATTGGAACTAGGAACTAGGTTTGTAATATGACTGTAATGAGATTCATAATTAAAACAAAATACATTTAAATTTTTTTGCAGATCTCTACGACGCCGCCTATAGTGACCTCGATTGTTTGATAAAATGTTTGGTAAAATGTCATTATTTCACACACATTTTTTTTTACACCATTCGTTAAAGCACGAATTATAGCTATCGAGGTTTTGCAGACCTTATTACGTGAACGGTGATAGATCCGCCTTTTTGGGCGTCTGGCGCGTCTCTTGATTGATTGATCGTACAGTGCATGTGCACTGCATTGTGATTAATTGCATGGATCATCTCTGGATGGACTTTTCTCCAAAAAGTAATTGGTTAACCCAAACAAATTGAACAGAAAATGAAAGATGATGAAATAAGCTTTGATTTGATGTGTCTCTCAAACACCTTGGAGAATTGTGAGTATTTTTCCTTAATTTCGGAAGTGGGCGTAGCCGATTCATCATTGGGGTCTATGGCAGTTTATTTTACTAGTCTGCAACCGTAGACGTTTAATATGGCGCTCGTGGCCCCGACCACAGACCTGTGACGTCACCTAATATTTCTCAATTGAAAGTCCAAGTTTGATTGGCTTCACAGTGCCTGTACATCGTTTCTACCCCAGAGATGATCCCGAACTAAAAAAAATAAGCCCTCAAGAGAAAAACATGTTGAAGAACTCAATAAAACTATGCAATAATGTTCAAGGTTGGATCGGGTGGGTTAACACCGAAGTATCTGCCATTAAGGCTCTTCGGTTCTGTGCGTTTAAGAACCATTCACACCAGAATCGAAATTATACGGTTAACTCTTGGCAGAGTTTACCTGAAAACAAGTCCGTGTATCATGCAGGCATTGATGCTTTGAACACGCCTGAAAATTTAGAAACGTTTTCAAGCTGAAAGCGACGACCACCGGTTACAGGATAAGTTTCCAGTAAACTAGAGGGTAGGATATTTATACATATTCATACAAAATGGTAGTGTTCTGTTTATCGTGGATGAAGCTCAGCCCAATTTCCTTTTTATTATGTTACCAGTACGCACAAATTATATGCAACTCTTAATCAATGTATAAAGAAAAGATATAACAGATTTTGTTGCTTTGAATTATGTAAGTAAACGTGGTATTTGTAGAGATTTATTTGCATAATTTGAAATAAAATATTTTATAGCAAGAACTATTAAAGAATGTTTATGCTAGATGGGACGCCTTCATGTTGACTTTGGTTTCTTTGTTTCAGTCAGACCCGTAGCTTAGAATTCTGTGGCCCTATTCAATTTGACAAATGTAATAATAAAAAAAACCCAAATCAAAATCCCAAATTCGCAACCAGAAAAGTTCACTTCAGTCATCAGGTAGCTTTTTATCCGCGTTGATAAAAATGCTTTGTGGTGGTGATCGCTATTAATGAAGCGCGCCCTCTATTGAAAGAAAATTAAAGTAGACTGTTTGTCTCATTGGGGTGCAACCCTGCAATAAAATTCCCATAGACACTAGTGCTAAATGCCCATACTTCAAAATTCTTTTACAAATAATCAGAACTCTCACAGGTATTTAAGCTGCACAGAAAAATGATGATCAACATGTCATCTTTCATTTTCTTTTCATTTTTTGGTGGGTTGACCATTGACTTTTCGAAAAATTCTCACCCAAAGAAGACGACCCCTATTTTCCCCACAACATGGCAAAATAGCGCCACTTTTGAGCCCAATTGCATCCAAAATGCTTAGCATTGGAAGCCCAAGACCGGGCCAGAGGTTCATTGCCATATCACTTCAATTCCCTAAGTTCACGGCTCTCCAGTCAGAAGTCTCTAATATCGAATTTTTTGAGGGCCGGTATAACTTGTATTCATGAGCTCGGCGGATGGATTTAGGCCTATTTACCGGTGTGCAACCATTGCGAGACCACTATTTTGTTTATCGCGCCCTCCTTTTTCGACAAAGACTTGTGGTTGACAAAAGTGTGCGGGTAAAATACCCTTGCAAAAAAGTGCGACAAACCGAAATTTCAATTTAATGAAACAGGGATTTCTTCCTTCGCACAACGAATACGTTTCTTTTGGTCGATGAAAGTTGACTTTCATTCGGATATTATATTTCGCGTTTAAAACACTATATTACTTTGGTCATTTTATTTGCATTGTTTGACGATTTATCATGCCATTAAATCTCCTAATGCGACCCATCATGACCAATCACTAGACGAAATTTCAATTCAATACAACAAGTATTTCTGGAGTTATCGTCTCCACAAAGAGTCGATTATTTTTGTTCAATTAAAAGTGAACTGAATTCGGAAGGAATTTTCGCGAATAACACTGGTTTTTCTTTATATCATATTAAATTTATTCTTCCACGATTCCCGTCAATTTTCAAATTTCTAGTGTCAAATATCAACGCCAATTATTGGACGGAATTTCAATTCAATGCAATGTGTTTTCCTTGAGTTATTGTCTCCACAAAGAGTGGTTTATTTTTGTTGAATGGGCAGATCGTGATCCTCGTGACCGAAGTGTGGTGACCAGCGTTTGTGTAGTGCGCCCTCTTTTGAAGAAATTGATAGTGCAGCAAAAAGTACGGAGTGTCCTTTTTATACACAGTGAAGTTTTTATTGTCGTATTAAATTTATACTTCAACGGTTCCCGTCAATTTTTAAACCAGTCATGTCATATATCACGACCAATAAATAGACGAAATATCAATTAAATACAAGAATTGTTTTTTGAGTTATCGTCTCCACAAAGAGTGTGTTTTTTTGGTTCAATTAAAAGTAACTTGAATTCGGAATGAGGTTTGCGAGATTAACTCACTGTATTTCTTTACATCATATTAAATTTATACTTCAATGGTTCCCGTCATTTTTTTTAAAACCAGTCTTGTCATATGTCACGACCAATCACTTAACGAAAATTCAATTCAATAAAAGGACTATTTCTTAAGTTATCGTCTCCACAAAGGGTGGGTTATTTTTGTTGAATGGACGCCGTGATCCGCATTGACAGAAGTGTAGTGACAAGCGTTTGTGTAGTGCGCCCTCTGTTGGAGAATTGATAGTGCAGCAAAAGTACGGACTGTCCTTACGCACTGTAGTTTTTATTGATCGTATTTAATTTTTCTTTCACGGTTCCCGTCATTTTTTTATACTTTGTATATCATAATTTCACGACCGATTATTGAACAAAATTTCAATTCAGTGTTTTTCTTGAGTTATCGTCTCCACAAAGCGTGGTTTATTTTTGTTCAATAAAAGTAACTTGAATTCGGAACGAATTTTTGCGATTAACACTGTTTTTTCCTTTAATTTATAAATCATATTACATTTATTCTTCCAGCGGTGCCCGTTAATTTTTAAACCAGTCGTGTCATATATCACGACCAATCACTAGACGAAATTTCAATTCGATACAAGAAGTATTTCTTGAGTTATTGTCTCCATAAAGAGTGGTTTATTTTTGTTCAATTAAAAGTAACTTGAATTCTGCATGAATTTTTCGCGATTTACACACAATTTTTTTTTCAAATCATATTAAATTTATTCTTCCAGGGTTCCCGTCAATTTTCAAACGTCTAGTGCCAATTATCACGGCTAATAATTTGACGAAATTTCAATTCGATGCATTGTGTTTTCCTGGAGTTATTGTCTCCACAAACAAGATTGTTTTTGTTTAATGGGCAAATCGTGATCTACATCCACAGTATATTCCTAAAAATAATGTTAAATTTGGTCCCAATCTACAGAAAATCTTCCTGACTATTGAACACGCAGAAACAACACGTGTGCATGTTCAATAGTCAGGAAGATTTTCTGTAGATTTGGACTTCATTTAGGCAGATTTTTTCCATGATGAAAAAAATACGTTTGTCAATGACACCAACATTTGTTCGTTATAATAATTTATAGGCTTGTTTAACTAGTCATGACCAATAACTAGGCGCAATTTCAATCCATTACAACTACTATTTAACATTTTACTGTTCAAGCAACATGGGTGTTGTTTGTGCATGTTCAATAGTCAGGAAGATTTTCTGTTGATTTGGACTTCATTTAGGCAGGTTTTTCTCCTGAATGACAAATAATATATTTTCAATAACACAAACATTTTCTCGCTATAATAATTTATAGGCTTGTTTAACTAGTCATTACTAATAACTAGGCGCAATTTCAATTCAGTACAGATACTATTAAACGACTAACTGTTCAAGCAATATGGATGTTGTTTCTCATTGTTCAGTAGTCAGGAAGATTTTCTGTAACGATTAGGACTTCATTTAGGCAGGTTTTTCTCCATGACAAAAAAAGTAGGTTTTTCAATGACACCAACATTTGTTCGTTATAATAATTTATAGGCTTGTTTAACAAGTCATGGCCAATAACTTGTCTAAATTTCAATATAGTACACCTACTTTTTTAATAATTTACTATTCAAGCAACTTGGGTGTTGTTTTTGCGTGTTCAATAGTCAGGAAGATTTTTTTTTGTAGATTGGGACTTCATTTAGGCAGGTTTTTCTCTGGGGAAAAAATATGTTTTTCAATGACAACCGTGACATTTGTTCGTTGTAATAATTTGAAGGCTTGTTCAACTAGTCATGGCCAATAACTAGGTACAATTTTTTCAGTATAACTACTGTTTAACAACTCACTCTTCAAGCAACATGTGTGTTGTTTCTGCGTGTTCAATAGTCAGGAAGATTTTTGTAGGTTGGGATTTCATTTAGGCATCTTACATCACGTAAGTACGGAGCTCTGGAAGTGCCATCCGACTTGTTCAGATACTGACTTATTTGCGGTCATCCCGTGAAAAGTTATGTTAGGATCTCAACATCTTGGATGGCACCGCCAGAGCTCCGTACATTATGTGTGGCTATGGCAACGGATCATTGAGCCATGGCAACGAACTGAAACATTGTTGACGAGTGTGTGGCATAGCGCTCATATTGCTTTGCCGCCGCTCGGAGTTGTCATTTCGAGCCAGCCAGTGATTCTCGCCGTTTCACAGTCAATTCCGGTCTCACAAATATTGACACTTTGTAAACTTGAGTGACTGAAAAGCGAACGTTTTGAATTGTCCGCTCATCATGGCGTTTATGTCCGAATTCTTTGCCATTGTGGTTGCCGTTTTATCGATGAGGGCCCTCTCTGAGTCAGATTTCTGCCCCTCTCGGTCCCCTGTCGAATGCTCTTGCCCGCTAGAGTGGCAATTGTGGGGGAGCGCGTGTTATCGCCTCACTCCTTCAAAACGCACCTGGGATGGCGCCAAGACAGCTTGCCAAGATATGGGAGGCAAGATGGCCGCTCCTCGCTCGCTCGAGGAAATGAACTTCATGGCGGAACTGGCACGAAAGGTGGACAGTAACTACTACGCCTGGATTGCTTGCAATGACACAGAAGTTGAAGGAACTTGGGAGTGTGACGGTCAGGAAGGAGGCGAGCCCTTCTTGGTATGGGATAATGGGCAACCTGATGATGGGGGTACACACGGCAATCAAGATTGTGTTGTAATAGCCGAACAACACAATCACATGATGGATGATGGTCACTGTGATGGTTCAAACAGGGCTTTTTGTGTTCGTCAGGCAGCTTGCACTCATCTCCCAACCCAACCCCGTCAATACTGCCTCTCTACCGACACCAACGGCCGCATCCTCGTCTCAACCTGCCTCCTCGACCACAGCATCCGGGAGTTTATCACCGAGGGCGTGGTCGCCTGTGGCTCAGCCTGCGCCGAAGAGTCCGGATGTCGCTCCTTCAACATCAAGAAAACCGAAGGAGGGAGGAAGATATGCCAGCTGAACAACAGCACAAGCTCCGAAGATAAGGACAAGTTTCAGAAGACCGATTACTTCTGTATGTACTCAGAAGTGTGTATCGGCTAGTCATGACAACTTTGGAACAATTTCAAAGATGCACTCTACAAACTTGTGAATTCGGATTTGGTTCCTAGATGATTAAAACCTTCGTGAGACATTTGCTCTTAATATTTACATCGCGTAGCAACTATTTCATGTTTCGTTCGTTCTGAAGAGAGAAAAAACAGCTTCTGATGTACTTTGAAGTAAAAAATATACTTGTAAATATTTAGCTCTTTTTGCGAACAAGAAAATGATTGGAATGAAAACATTTTGAACTGATGAAAATCGTTGGATTTTTTTTCCCAACAGATTGCATAACAGTTTTCAAACGCTAATGCATTGTACATTCGCAAGTAGCTCTAGTTTTTGCAATGTTGGCATTTGTCAAAACAGCAAAAACAAATATTGCGTTAGATCAATTGTATCGTTGATTTAATGTTTCTTAAATTATTACCATCGTCATTTTCTTTACTTACAAATAAAGAGTTGGTTTTAATCACTCACGTGTATTATATAACAGTCCTTTCAATAATGGTTTTGAAAACTGGATTTTATCGCTTTGGAAACAAATTACAATTTCTCAAGTTGGTCGATATGTACAAATCACGTTTTTTGAAAATTTGAAATCGTTGGCATGATAACATGAATACAATTAATTCATTAGATTTTACATAAGTTTACACAGCCCTGTTGCTTTGTAAGAACCTATTTTGGAATAAATTAATTATTGTTGTTGTAGGCAAAGGACATCATAGCTCTTATAACATGTTATTGTTTGTGATGAACTTATTGCAACTTTATAGTAAGTTTGAAAATAACAGCGATGCTGTTCAAACCCCTCATTGTGACCTTCACCTTTGACCTTTTGACCCAAAACCAATCCACACTTGCCTGTACCCAAGGGCAACCCCCTACCACAGTTAGACACCCAAATCCCATTTCTAACATCCGGAGACCATTTACCTTTAACTCACCACGGTCACCACGGTGACCTTAACCTTTGACCTTTTCACCCCCAAAACAATGCCAACTTGCCTGAACCCAAGGGCAATCCCCTTCTAAAGTTAGAAACCCAAGTCACATTTCTAACTCAAGTTATCATGCAGAAACCATTCACATTTAACACACCACTGTGACACTGACCTTTGACCTTTTGACCCCAAAACCAATCCCAACTTGCCTGTATCCAAGGGCAACCCCCTACCACAGTTAGACACCCAAATCCCATTTCTAACTCAATTTATCATCCGAAAACCAATAACCTTTAACTCACCACGGTTAACTTGACCTTTGACCTTTGACCCCAACCAATTCCAACTTGCCTTTACCCAAGGGCAACCCCCTACCAAAGTTTGACATCAAAATGTCATTTCTAACTGAAGTTATCATCCGGAAACCATTTACCTTTGACCATTTTGACCCCAAAACCAATCCCAACTTGTCTTTACCCAAGGGCAACCCCCTACCAAAGTTTGACACCAAAATCTCATTTCTAACTCAAGTTATCATCCGGAATCCATTTACATTTAACTCACCATAATGACCTTCACCCTTGACCTTTGGACCCCAAAACCAATCCCAACTTGCCTGTACCCACTCGTCTTCTGGTTGTAAGGGATCAGATTCAAAATTATGACCCTAGCTGCCAGTGGTGTGTGTTTTTTTTTTCTCTTTTTTTTCTTTTTCTTTTTTGCAGTGTTCATGTGTTACTATATTATTCATTAAGTTTTATTCCTACGCATTATTATGATTACGACATGTATTATTCACTGCTAATCGCATCTGGCGCTTGACAAAGTAGACAATTGCGGTAAAATGAATTGAAGATATTACAATGGAAATATAATGGCCTGCACCTGCGGTCTGTTTATAGCTCTTGAAGAGACCACATCAAATAATAAAAATGCCGAAGCTTGAAAACTCCCACTTCTTTTCTTTTTTTACATTTTTGTTTACATTTGCACCGGAGGCCTTGGTTATTATATGGCTCGCTAAGTCAAATATCAGCAACGGCATTATTATTGCAAATCTCACTTGATCGCGGCCTTTCATTACTATAAGAGTTTCTCCCATTGTAATAATAAAATCGATTATTTATATCTAAATAGCATCTGCAACTTGAAACGCAATCGTCATAACTGTCTGTTTATTTCTATCGCTGCCAAAAAGGTCCCATAATGAATTTTTTAGCTCAGACAATTTTATTTTGCGAGGGCTGCAATAAGGGTTAAAGTGTTCATGACATGAATTTTTCTGAGGAACATTTCTAATGCACTTTTGCTCCTCTGAAATGTATTAGAACTATGTGACATCCCTTTTTAGTTAAGTTAATCTAAAAGTGCACTTCGTTCATCATTTAACAATGTCCATGCTTTTCCTGATGAGAGAGGGCGTTGTTGCTTTGATGTCATTTCAGGAAGACACTGTTCAGTTTAGGGGATTTCTTGTTAAAATTGTGAACCCAAAAATGTGCTCATTGAAAACATTTGTGAGAAAAGTTTGCTCATTGGCTTACTGCCATGTATTGACACAACTACGAATCATCAAAGTAAATAAAATGTATGACAGCAATATATCCAAAATTCCGGCAATTTTTGGCGCTGAAATAGCTGAAACATTGAGGTTTCTGCCTGAAATGACATCACACTTTTGCTTATGAATATGTAAATTTACATAAGCATAAAAACCGAGAAAGCACCAAAATACCCTTGAAAATGGCAAAATGAGAATTGAAAATAAGGTTAAATAGGACACAAAGATTTATGAAGGATGGCATTAACAACTTACATTGCATTGCCCTATTATAAAGGGTACAGTTCGTGGGGTATTTTTTTAGTATATTATAACTCGAACTTCTCGACTTGTGAGTAAGGATTGTAATTTAAAAACAATGTATTGTTGAACATTAATTTTCCATTGTGATAATAAACCTTTTCGATATTCACAATACATCTTAAATATATGGATAACAAACAATCCAGGCAGTTTATGCACAAACCTATGGGTGTGGTCAACCAGTCAACTTTAAAAAAAATGTCTTCAGTATTTATTCAAATAATATCTGACCATCGATTTGCATATGAATGTACGTAAAAATGAGAGTTATTTTTGTCAATAACATCAACATTTTAAACTTTAGAAACAAAAGAAGAAATAATGTTGGAATTTCTTTCAGGGTGCCACAGCAGTCCCGAAGGAACAACTGCGATTGGTCAGTGTTTGGAGGCGTTGGCTTGAAATCTCGATACTGATTGGCCAATATTGGCAGGGTCATAATACTCATATTAACGTATAATGAAACTGGTATCTATAAAAGGGATGCCGAAAACTTTCTTCATTCCAATATTTGATAAGCTTTTAAAACGTGAGGTTTTTTTTCAGTCATTAGATTCCAAATTAACCATGCAACAATGAGTGAATCGATTATCACTAAATTCTTGACACGTAACGAGGAAGAATCAAGTTTGTTCGGTAAATTCCCGTTGACAGATAATTCTATCGATGAGAATACAACGGCTGCTTGATAGATAACGATGACATTAACGCTTGTTAATCACAAAACCCTGACTTAGGGAGATATTATACAAGAAGCATCGGTGGTTCAGTGGTAGAATTCTCGCCTGCCACGCGGGAGACCCGGGTTCAATTCCCGGCCGATGCAAGTTTTTTTTTTATTAATTCTTCATTAAAGCTATTTTTTACCACCTTTTTCTCAAACATTTGAGAAAATGCTTGACGTATAACTTTAAACATTTCCTTGCTGATCGCCTCGTGATTTATTCAAAACAAGTGGACATGACAATAATTTTCACAATTGTAGCATTATTTGGGCAATTTCCCATACCTCGGCTTCGTTCTGGGTTAACTACTTAACACGCTGCATTGCTTTGGTTATATTAATTTTATAGTTTGACGATTCCTATTCAATTTAGAACACTTTATGTAACCTATAACGACCAATCACTAGATATAATTTCACCTCATTACAACAAATACTCCTAGAGTTATCGTCTCCACAACGAGTGTGTTGCTTTTGTTCCATGAATGTTGACTCAAATTCGCCTTGTATTTTTCGCGCTTAACACGCTACATTGTTTTGGTTATAACATTTTTATTGGTTGATGATTCCTCCTCAAATTCAACAGATTTGTGTTACCTATCACGACCAATCATTAGATTTATTTTCTTTTTAATAAAACAAATATTCGTGGAGTTATCGTCTCCACAACGAGTGTGTTGTTTTTGTTCCATGAAAGTTGACTCAAATTTGCCATGTATTTTTCGCGCTTAACACGCGCGTTGTTTTGGTCATAATATTTGTATTGATTAATGATTCTTCTCCAATTCAACAGATTTGTGTTATCTATGTGGTGTTAATTATTTTAATTAAAGTTTTCTTTATTTCGGATTAAATTCTTCGCTCTAAACTCACTCTTTTGTTTGGATTCAAATTAAATAGCCTTCTTTCACAAAACATGACCAACCACTAAACTACATTTCAATTACGCTCAAGAAGTTTTGTTCGAGTTATAGTGCCCACAATGAGCTAGTGCGATGTTTTGTTCTCAGTAAAGTTGACTTTAATTTGAATTTATTTCAAACATGAGGTTTTTTTTCAGTAATTAGATTCCAAATTACCTGTGCAACAATGTGTTCAACGATTATCACTAAATTCTTGACACGTAACAAGGACAAATCAAGTTTGACTGTTAATTTCCGTTGACAGATACTTCTATCGATGAGAACTTCAATTGCTTGATAGATAACGATAACATTAACGTGTGTTAATGCATAAAACCCTAACTTGGGGAAAGTATTATGTAAGAAGCATCTGTGGTTCAGTGGTAGAATTCTCGCCTGCCACGCGGGAGACCCGGGTTCAATTCCCGGCCGATGCAAGGTTTTTTTTTTTTAATTCTTCATTAAAGCTATTTTTATTGCCTCCCTTTTCTCAATAATTTGAGAAAAGGCTGGACGTAACTTTGAACATTTCCTTGCTGATCGCCACGTGATTTATTCAAAACAAGTGGACATGACAATAATGTTTACGATTGTAGCATTATTTGGGCAATTTCCCATATCTCGGCTTCGTTCTGGGTTAACTACTTAACACGCTGCATTGCTTTGGTTATATTAATTTTATAGTTTGACGATTCCTATTCAATTTAGAACACTTTATGTAACCTATAACGACCAATCACTAGATATAATTTCACCTCAATACAACAAATACTCCTAGAGTTATCGTCTCCACAAGGAGTGTGTTGTTTTTGTTCCATGAAGGTTGACTCAAATTCGCCTTGTATTTTTCGCGCTTAACACGCTACATTGTTTTGGTTATAACATTTTTATTGATTAATTATTCCTCGTCAAATTCCATAGATTTGTGTTACCGATAACGACCAATCACTAGATATAATTTCATTTTAATACAACAAATATTCCTGGAGTTATCGTCTCCACAACGAGTGTGTTGTTTTCGTTCCATGAAAGTTTAATCAAATTTGCTTCGTATTTTTCGCGCTTAACACGCTACATTGTTTTGGTTATAATATTGTTATTGATTAATGGTTCCTCCTCAAATTCAATAGATTTGTGTTACCTGTAACGACCAATCACTAGATATAATGTCACTCCAATACAACAAATATTCCTTGAGTTATTGTCTCCACA